AGGAATGCTGTGGACTGAATTGTGTCCCCCCAAAATTCATATGTTAACACCCTAGCCCTTAATGTGATAGCATTTTGAGATGAGGCCTTTGGAGATAATTAGGTTGAGATGAGCTCATGAGGGTGGGGCTCTCATGATGGGATTGGTGCCCTTTTAGAAAGAGGAAGAGAGAGAGAGATCACATACATCGAGGAAAGGTCATATGAGTACACAGTGAGAAGGCAGCTGGCCATCAGAAAGCCAGGAAGAGAGCTCACACCAGAATGTGACCATGCTAGCACCCTGATCTCAGACTTCTAGCCTCCAAAACTGTGAGAAAATAAATTTCTGTTGTTTAAGTCACCCAGTCTATGATATTTTATGTCAGCCTGAGCTAAGACAAGGAGTCTTAAAGATGTGATTATAAAATACAATACTGGAGGTTATGATAATAAAATATGATAAATCCTCTCAGCAAAGTTCTGTGATTCTTCTACTTTTATTTTTGCCAACTACAGAATACTTAAAATCGTCCTTCCTGGGATGTATAAAACAGTGTCTTGACCCTTTCTGGCTTTACTCATGTAACAATCTGAAGGAAAGCTTCCTAAGTGACAGCTCTCCCCAAACCTGACCTAGCTGCTGTCTGTGACTGGCTTTCTCCCAGAATCCTTCCTTTGCCTCCCCTGACTGCAGGCTTGACTGGGGAAGAGGTTATTTTCCTAGTTTGAGTAAAATGTGCTGCTTTGCTCCCAGGCTCTGGCTACTGTTACAGTGTCTCATTTTGCATTCTTCCTGTTTCTACTTGACTATCTACTTCTTCTTTTCCTCTTATTATTATTATTTTTTAATGTTTAAAAAAATAAAAATTTTTGAGGGCACGTACCTTAAAATTTTTTCCTCTTCCAGTTTTGTTGATATATAATTGACATAGGGCACTGTATAACACTGTGTACAGCATAATAATCTGACTTACATATACATCATGAAATGATTACAATAAGATTAGTGAATATCCATTGTCTCATATAGATACAAAATAAAAAGAAAAAAATTTTTTTCCATGAGATGAGAACTCTTCGGATTTACTCTCTTAACTTTCATATATAACATAAAGCAGTGTTAATTGTATTAATCATGTTGTACATTACCTCCCTAGCAGTTATTTATCATATAACTTCCAGTTATAAGACCATTTACTTTTTCCTAATTACATCTGTCCTCCAGGTGAATGAATGTTTCCTGTGTTTTTATTTTGAAAAGTTTTGGTAAAGATTTTAATCACATAATTTTGTATTTTACATTTAACAGGTTATCACTTATATCATCTTGGGCAAGTCAGTTCATCACTTTGAGACCATCCTTCCTCTTTCCTAACAGGGAAAAAATAATAATGGCTGCTATATTACTTCACAGGTTGTTGTCAGAATCAGACAGAATCATATAAATCAGAGTTTGTGCAAATGTTGGTTGTTACATTGTTAGTTGGGAAATATCTGCCTGTATTTAACTCAGCCAGATTGGCCACATAGTTGAGTGTAGATTAGTCTTTGGTGCTTATTTGTATTTTTAGGGTATTTCTTTTTTTTTTTTTTTTTTTTTTTTGCGGTACGCGGACCTCTCACTGCTGTGGCATCTCCCGTTGCGGAGCACAGGCTCCGGATGCGCAGGCTCAGCGGCCATGGCTCACGGGCCTAGCCACTCCACGGCATGTGGGATCTTCCCAGACCGGGGCATGAACCCGTGTCCCCTGCATCGGCAGGCGAACTCTCAACCACTGCGCCACCAGGGAAGCCCTTAGGGTATTTCTTGACCAATCTGTGCAAAACAAGTTTGGCTTAGGAGAGTATTTTAATGGTATGAATGAGGGGTTGAGGGGAAAATGATTATAACACACATCTATGTGTTAGTGCCCATAATCTTTAATGGTACCCTGGAAACTTGTATTTATCAAATTTCTCTTTTGACAAATGCTTTCTTTTCATGTCCTACAAGTGCTTTGCTTGAGAGAGAGACTGATAGGTATATTTTGCGGAAAGTAAAGCTGGTCATTTTTTCTTTTTTGGTAAGCAGTAAGATTTCAAGGGCTTCCCTGGTGGCGCAGTGGTTAAGAATCCATCTGCCAATGCAGGGGACACGGGTTTGAGCCCTGGTTCGGGAAGATCCCACATGCCGCGGAGCAACTAAACCTGCGCACCACAACTACTAAGCCTGCGCTCTAGAGCCCGCAAGCCACACTGCTGAAGCCTGTACACCTAGAGCCTGTGCTCTGCAACAAGAGAAGCCACCACAATGAGAAGCCTGCACACTGCAACTAGAGAAAGCCCGCATGAAGCAACGAAGACCCAGTGCAGCCAAAAATAAATAAATAAAATAAATAAATTTATTTTTAAAAAAAGATTTCAACTGGGAGAAAGAAAAAGGGAATAGTTTTCCTGCTCTAATTGAAGGTCTTATTCCTACAGTCTCCCCACTCTGTTTGTATGGGTGTGTCTACGTGTGTATGTTGGCATGGCTGGGCAACCACAGTGAGTGTGCAGAGGGGTGAGAAGAAGAGAAATAGTAACAGAAGTAAAGAATCAAAAGATGTAAGGGAGATATTGGAACACTTACACTATCTCAGATATGCAATTAAAGGCACCTAGAAATTTTACTTTCTTTTTCTTCCCTTTTCAAATTCCCACTTGATAAATTGTTTTTTTCCTAAGGAATTCATGATAGTTTTAGACTGAAGTCATTTTGAAGTAACTCTCCCACCCCCGCTTGTTTTAACAGAAATATATTAGTAAAGCTTCTTTTGCTTTTATCTTGTTTTTCATAGTAATCATAACAGTTGTTGCATGCCCAAATGTTGGGACAAATATTTACTTATATCTATAGAGATATAAATTCAACAGAATAAAGTTCTGGGTGATAAAAAATATGACACTGCTTTGGGAAACATGAAAACATATTAATAGTATACAAACACTTGAAGAGTAGCAAATGTTAGGAAATATGGGGTGACACAAAAAATTAACTATATATGATGTACAATATAGCAGATGGAAATTATGATCTGTCTGCTTATGTTGAGACATCACGCTACAGAACAAAGAGTTTTGAATGAGATGCAAGTAATTTGGTCTTTCCCTCTTTAACACAGGCTGTTTTCATATTGCCAGTTTTTTCCTTACAAGTTAATACAATGACATGAAATTTTACTGGCTTCCTACCTAGGTTACCTGTGGATTTTAATCTATAGGAGCGTCTAGGTCAAATTTTAACAAAAAGCAGCCTTTACTGAGGTGTTTAAAAACATAAATATTTATTCCTATCCATATATAATTTAAAAATGTGATTTGATGATCTATTTATATACTTGTATTTCTTAAGCATTTATCAGAACTTTGAGGGGTCAGTAGAGGTGTTCTTGATCTAAACTGAGGTTTTTGAGGTGGAGAGTATAAAATGGTTTGTTGGTCATTGATGACAATAGTTAGAGTTCCCAGTATTGCAGACATTTCTTCTCCATTTAGTGAGATAGGGTTAACTTTGTTTCTTGTCTAGTATCGGGTCCTGGGATATATCAGAAAAGTGGAGATGTTTTATTTATTAGGCAAATTATTCTCCATCCTGAGCATGCACAAATCGTCATTGCTTTTGAGTCTCTAACAGAAAGATGGTAGTGTGGTAAACACAGAAGCAGTCCTTACTATCACTTTCCTCTAAGATGGGTGATACCACTCACGTCAGAACCTCCAGTTTGAGAAAGCATGAGAGTAGAGTTAAAAAAAGGCACTGTTGTATTACAAAAACAAAAAGGGCATGTTTCCATACTAACTACCCCCTGCAGATTACACATCGACCCTATCATCAGTCTGCTAAAGTAGAAATGGAGAATGAGATAAATCCTCAATTATTTTAAAGTGCATTTGTTTCACTGGAGCCTTTCAAAATTTTCGTGTGTGTGTGTGTGTGTGTGTGTGTGTGTGTGAGAGAGAGAGAGAGAGAGAGAGAGAGAAGAGACTAAAGACTTCCTTGATGCAGCAAGTGTACTGAAAATATAAAAATGTTCGATAAATAAAAATTTAAACATAGCACCAGACTATGATTTTTCTTCATGCACACCTTTATGTCTGACTTTTGAAAGGTCTTTAGACACAATTTTTAAAAAATGATAGTTTCAGAGTCTTCTACAATGCCTTCATGGTGGATCGATTTCCATACAGGTCTTCCATAGTAACATATCTTCATCCCAGTTAACCAACCATAAGAAAAAGAATGTAATCTTCTGCCTCCCCTCTGTGGGCAGAGTGGACAGGAGAGTAGTCAGAAAACATCGGTTCCAATTTGTGTCTACAATTTGATGACTTGAGTGATGTTGGGCCTCTAGGAACTTTAGAAGGTTCACTAGAAAAACCGAGATAATAGCTACCACATTATATAGTTGAGAGGGTTACCTGAGCTCACAAACGAAGTTCTCTATAGACAGCAAACGGAATGCAAACGTGAGCCACACTTTATATTTCTAAGCAGCGGAATCCCTGATACAGCCATGGATTTACAAGAAAGTGGGGGAAAATGTCAACCCAGTGAGGTCACTCCCTCTGGCCGGGCCCTAAAATTCTTTGGCACCTGAAGGGCTGTGCTCTGTACACTCGGAAAAGCCTCGGCACCCTGACTTGGCACAACGGCGCCCTTAGGCTCCTGCTCACTCAAGCAGCGGGGAACTTTTCGTAGCTCCTCTAAACCATGGGAGCGTTTTCTCCCAGCTCTCTCCACAGACCTCGCCAAACGTCTCCTTCCAAGGCCTCACCCAGGGAGACACCGCGCATCCACAATTACTCGACGCTCGCTACGCTCACCGCCGGTGCGGAGGTGGGGAGGAAGGCGTGGCTTCGCTTTTATAAGCCTTGCCAGCCAATGAGCGTGCTGCCTTTCTTCCGGTCGGCGAGCCAACCAATCCGAGCAAGCCGGTGTAACCTTCGGCTCTACTCGGCTCTTTTCGCTGATGCGGGCAGCTTGAGTGGCCGCCGCCGCTAGAAAGACGCTTTCCTTTTTAATTTTTTTTCCGAGCGTTCACTTCCGGGTCCGGCGCCGATCCGGATGCCCGAGGCAGAAGGATGTTTGACCTCCGGATAAGCGAGGCGCCGCTGTGCATTCATTCCCAGCTGCATTGGTGGCGACAGCCGCGGCCCGGGCGGCGACTCTCCGGCCAGAGGCGGCGGTAGGACGCACCGGCAGTAGTGCGGCGACCGAGTCCGAGCTGCGTTATCTCCCTCGCTTGTTCCTTCCCCCCTACCTCGCTCGCTCCCTCCCTGCGTGCCTCGCTTTCCTCCTCCGGCCGCCGGCGGGTGCGATGTGCCGCCGCCGCTGCCCCAGCCGCCGCTGACTGACGGACCGGGCGGCGCCGCCCGCGCCCGGGACCGACCCGCCACTTGCGGCCGCGCCTTTGAGGTAAAGCTCCGTTCGCGTTGGCGCCTGGCCGGGAGGCCCCGGCCCGGCGGCTGCCTCGGCGCGGCCGCGGCGCCCTCCTCCCCGGGTGGGGCTGGGCGGACTGGGGTCCCGGGCTGGGTGGGGTGGGGTGCGGCGGGGGCGGTGCCGCTGGCGGGGGCCCCGGGGAGGGGTGGGCGAGGACCCGGGCGGGCGGCGCGGAGGCGCGGGCTGGAGGCGGCCGCGGCTGCGGCCGGGGGGCGAGGGCGCCTTGGGCTCGCTGGGCAGGGAGGGGGCCGCGGGCGGCTGGCCGGGCTGGCCGCAGAAGTTGCCCGAGTGGTGCGGAGCGAGTAGGGACGCCGGGGAGGTGGGCGAGCTGGGAAAAGGCAGAGGCTTTTGCGGGGAGTGTTGAGAGGTCGGGAGTGCAGCCCCCAGCGCCCCGCGATTGTGTCCAGACAATTCCCTTCGGAGCGGGGATTTTAGGCAGGAGGGAGGGAGCCGTCTGTCGGCTGGAGGAGGTGTCAGGGGTCAGCATTCATTTCTGGGAGAAACTTCCCGATGGGGTATTTGTTTTAAGGGGGGGGGGTAGGGATTTACCTATTCGATAGAGCTTTTGACTTGGCTCAGAACTTATCCAAGTCATCAGTCGGGGGCTCAAAATTACCCTGATGGTTACTGTTAGGGTGCTGCTTTGTTTGTTTCTCCCACTTGCAAAGGGGAAGTGACCCACAGGAGCGTCGGCTCTCTTGGTCCACAGCCCCCGCGTTTCTTTTCTGCGGGGTGGTGATGGAGATGTGTGTTTGCTCCTGGGGTGAGGGTAGTTAGGCCTTTGTTACGATCATTCCAGTTCTCCCAGGGAAGGAGGAAAAGTTAATGGGTGGGAGTGTGTGTGGGAGATGGCTACTGTTGCTACTCTGTGTGAATTAGTTTTAACTCTGTTGTAATGAGTACCAAGCCTGGTCAGCAAGTGACCCTTTTTTAACCTTTGGTTTTAGAACATCGACTTTAGTTGGAGAATTAAAAACCTACTGATTTTTAATAAGTTAAGGAAAGAAGTTAGTACTTATTTCTTTTACGTTTGCAATTACTTCTTGTGATAGGAATGACATTTACCCACAGATAGTAAAAGAGGTTAAACTATATCTGAGTTGGAATACTTTTTAAAATTAAAAATATCTAATTAGTAAAACCATGTATATATTTTTGAAGACTATTTGCTTTCCCTGTAAATAAGCAGATTGTGAAAGAAAAATATCACAGAAGTTATAAGATGTGAGGCCAGTTTAAGAAAACATTTCCCACCAAAAATCAGATCTGGTTTGTGACATTCTTAATAACTTTTTTGGCAGAGGGGAGTGGAGAGTTGTGTTTAGTGTATTTTGTAATTATTCCCAAACTTTGCTCCAACTGTATTCTGAGTTAAGATCAATTATTTTCTTATTTTATATACATTAGCCTTTATAGTTGCACAAAAGATGAAAATCATATTTATGGGAATTGGAAGAAAGGTGTAATAAGATAAATTGCATGGCTTTGGTATAGATTTGTAGCAGAGTGTATAGACACTTTTGCATTCAGGGTGCTTGCATTTCTGAATATGCCTCAGGTATAAGGAGTAAGTAGTTCTTATTAGAACGGGGGACAGAAAGCTTAATTTTGATGTTGACATGTATGAGACTTTTGGGGGAATCTTGGAAAATGATTATCTTTTCCGATGGTTTATTGTGCTCACTGACCTCTTCTGCCATTCATCAACTTAAAAACTAATGCATTATATAATTATTGACATTTTCATTGTTAGATTTGCAAGCATTAACTATTACCAAAATCTTCAGCACCCAGAAGTCACTTATTCCTTCAAATAAAAGAACTAGGATTAGAACAAAGGAATGGTTTAGTTCAACCTGAACCTTTACTTTGTGTAGGGGACTTTTACTGTGTGGTGAGGGTGGAAGAGTGGTAGAACCATGAGGAGGACTAAGACCCAGGACTAAGACCTTTAAGGGAGAAGCAGACATGCACAGAAATAATTGCAACACAGGACTCCTGTGGGATTTATTAGAAATGTATGGAAGCATGCGTGTGTGTGTGTGTGTGTGTGTGTGTGTGAGATACCAATTTTGACTGGGGAATTATAAACGAGGTAAGAGCTGGTAATACTCCATTTGGGGCTTAAAATATTTTGATGGTCAAAATGGGTCGGTGTGTGTGTGGGGTGGTGTGGGTAGTTTTGTAGGTGAAGGGAGCAGTTGAGAACTGGCATGCTGATTTGCTATCATGGGGCCTGTTGAGCTGGACCTAAGGCTGCTGTGCCAGGAGGTCTCTGTGGGAATTGAAGCTGTAAAATTAGGTGGGGATCAGTCAGTCCATGGACATCTAGAATGCCTTGTATTTAAAAGTGAGTCAGTTTAAGGTATGAAGGTCCAAGTGTATAGATTCTATGCTGATAGCAAGTAGGTAGGCAAATAAGGCTAGTAAGTTTAAAGGAAACAAATTAGAATAGTCAGTTTGTTATCATTCATGCTAATGGAGGAAAGCAGAAGAGTATATAATCTAAAACAGTTCCTGCATGGCTTTGTCATATTTCTTTGCTTGCATTTGGATATGAGTGTGTGGTAACCTGGTAATTGGTTTTATATGAAATAAATCTAGATTTTAAACATGACTTGGGAAGAAATGGGAATCTTTCCCTTTTCTTCTCTGGGTGCCCTCTGTAATCCCCTTCATGCTGGGAATAGACCATCATTCTGGTGTGGTTTATTGGTTCACATTTTTTCAGAATGGAACAAGTAGTTGTTTAGTTTCAAAGGATGTATCAAACTAAATAGTGGGAATGCTGAAACAATAAATAACAAAATACAGGTCACTGGATAGTTATATTATTGTTAATACACTTTAAGGTGAGATTTGCTATGGATAAAGTGAAATGTGAAGAATCTACATAGGAAGAGAATTGACTATACCAGTAAGATGACAACATGAGAAACTTCCACAGTTATGGATAAATATATACAGGGTTTTTAAATATTGACGACTCGAAAAAAATTTAATCCCAAACTTAATCATTATCAAAGGAGTGCTTAGAAAAATATCGCCCTTATGACACCATTGTTTAATCATCTAGTCATGTAACAGGGGAGATTGTTTGATAGTTCTTTACTGACTATTCCCCTCTTAGTGTTCAATAAGGATTTACATTATAACTGAATTTGTATCTTGAACCTCCCGATAATAACAATACCTATTACAATTTATTAAGTGCCCACTTTGTCTAAGGACCATAAATGATAACTGTTAAGACGACTCTGTGAGTTAGGTGGTGTAAGCCTTGCTTTTGACAGTAGGAGGCAGAGTTTTCTAGAATTTAAGCAACCTGTTTAAGATATATCTTGGAAGTAGCAGAGTGCATATTTAAATCTTTTTCTTTTTTTTTTCTGACTTCACAGTCTTAGACCAATGATGTCTTCTCTAATCTTCCATATTCTTCCTTTTTGTCTTTTCTCATGCAGTTGGCACTTAGTGGTATTGATTAATGTTGTTAGTATGTGTTTGGGTGTTTGTTCTTTAAGATATAATTTCTTTGGAAATGGTGGTTTTGGGATATCTGTAGTTCTCTACTAGTAGTGACTCTCTAGGAGCAGAAGATATGGTTCTAGTAACGTAAGCTACCTCAGAGTATCATTTTTGTGCTGATCTGTAGGAAAGAACCATACATGAGATTGTTAATGTGTGGAAATCAAGTGTGTGTTGTCTATTAATGTGAAGTGACTTTGGAGAGCCTCTGAACTAGTCAGAAAACATGGAATGGGACAGATAAGCAGGGATAGGTAAGTTTTAGAGACACAGTGGAGACTGCTGTTAGCCATGTTTTTTCTAGCTCCCTTCTCAAAGCTGAGATTTAGGAACTATAAATGTTTGGGTTTCCTTCTATAATGGGACCTATGGAAGGTGCGTAGTGATTTGTTCTTAAACTCTCTTATATTATGTTCTCTGCTTCTACTCCCTGCCAATCATCCTGGTTCTGAGAAAGAATTCTTAAACAGTGAACTTGAAGTACTTGTGTATTTGGTAGATAAGACACACATTTTGATCATTTTCTTTACTAATGATATATCACATAGTTTTATGTAATTAAATGAAAATCTATAGCTAAAACCGATGTCCACATGACTATATCACGTCCACATTTTTTATAGCGTTTACTGTAATTAGTAAAATCTCATGATGTATATACTCTTTTTCTTAAACACAAATTTCTAATGCTTTCTTCTTCAGTGAGGTAATGCAGATTTTAACTGTATTCAAATTTATTACATATATTTAGTTGATTTTGTGTTGAACTACTTTCCTTAGCTGATAGCTACGTTGGAAAAACAAGGGGGCGGGGGAGAGGGTTTCTCTGCCATTATATTCTTCATACGATTGAGAAAATTCATATAAAGTGCCATGATGTGATGCCTGGCACATAGCAGGCACTATGCAGATCTTCTCTTAAATTTAGGAGTTGCTGATATATATGAGTTGTCAGAGTGTTGATTGGTGCGTAGAATGAGCAAAGACTTTTGGGGATAGCCTATTACAGGAGAATCTCTGAGCTCGCCTCTCTTTAACCCACTCAAAAGATTAAGTTATACTCTTCATTCATTTACTACTTGATGTCCATGCTACATTAAATGGCAGTAGACTACCCTCTAGTTTGTTCTTGAACTTTTATTCCCACCAGTTATTGTATACCGTGTATACCTACCAAGAATCATTTGTCTGTGTACCCAGCAAATTGTTAATGGCAGTTGTACTTTGTTGTAATTACATAGTTTAATGAGATGTTATTCAGTGAACTATGAAGGCGAAAAGGTGTTTGTATGAGAGCCAGTGGCTGCTTTGGAAACGGGTGAGTAGCTGAAGTCACTTACAGTTAAAATCGGTGTAGGTGAAATTAAATGACTAGGGAAAAACCCCTAAAAGTTGTAGATTTTGCAATGAGATTCTGCTATAAAATTGCTTATAAGTGTTTGTGAGATGTCTTTCCATGTTTAAGAAACAAACTGGAAATCACAGGTGATGTACTATGGGTGTGGTTTTTGCAAGACAGATAAAGTAGAACTATAATCCATGGACTCATGCTTGAAGGAAAGGCCTTGGCCCTGCATTAAAAGACTGTCTTGTGGGCTTCCCTGGTGGTGCAGTGGTTGGGGGTCCGCCTGCCGATGCGGGGGACGTGGGTTCGTGCCCCGCTCCGGGAGGATCCCATTTGCCGCGTAGCGGCTGGGCCTGTGGGCCGTGGCCGCTGGGCCTGCGCGTCCGGAGCCTGTGCTCTGCAACGGGAGAGGCCGCAACAGTGAGAGGCCCACGTACCGCAAAAAAAAAAAAAAAAAGACTGTCTTGTAATTGTATATTTTTGTGGTTTAGTTGCATTAAAATGTTTAAGGTAGATCCTTTTATGATTCCCCTTTTTAACTAAGT